AAAATATCTATAAGTAGCTTTCCAAGTTCTAGAGGATTAGGTAGGGGAAAAAAAGTAAATAGTCTTTATTCACAAAAATATACTTTACCAGTTTGCTGTAAGCTATAGATACCTTAAAAGAAAAGCAAAAAACGTTTCCTTAAATCTAAAAAATAAAACATTAAAATAAAGAACCGGCAAAATATCAAATAAAAATTAATAAAAACATTATTCCCATCAGTTATTCATTCCCATGTAATTAATTCTTGTTCTGCTTGATCTTAGGATAGTAGTTCATGGACTCACCAATTTCTTATTAGAATTTTAGAAATTTTTAGTCAGTTTAATGGTATGATCTGAAAGTTATCAGAAACCTGTATTACAGAGTCCTTTCCATGAATCTCTTTGACGAAACAGTTTTGGACGGTAGTTGATTGCAGGTGCTTTTAGAAAAAAATCAAAACAATAACTATCTATGGGTGACAAGACTTAAAATGGCCATAGTTAAATTCTGATGAGGGCTTATTATAATAATTATGCAGTTGACAAGGAAGTTTGTTATTTTCTGTGACATACATTTTACCATAGTGAAATTATGACTGATAGCATTATATCAAGACATCACATTTCTTGGAATTTTATACAACTTCTGAAGCATAGATTAGTAATACATATATTCAAAAATCCAAAGAATGTTAGACATTATTTCTTGTTTAAAATTAGAAATTAAAAAAAAAATTTTTTTTGAGATGGAGACTTGATCTGTCACCCTGGATGGTGTGTAGTAGCATGATCGTAGCTCACTATGGGCTTGAACTCCTGGGCTCAAGTGATTCTCTCACCTCAGCCTCTCAAGTAGCTAGGACTACAGGCATGTGCCACTGTGTTTGGCTAATTTTTCTTCATTTTTGTAGTGATGGGGTCTTGCTGTGTTGCCCAGGCTGGTCTCAAATTCCAGGCCTCAAGTGATTGTCCTGCCTCAGCCTCCCAAAGTGCTAGCTAGGATTATAGGCATGAGCCACTGCATCTAGTCTAAACATTATTTCTTATTTGGGATTCCCATGTAATTTAACATGCCAAACAAGCCTAATAACTTCACTATTTAATATTTCAGAGATTCTATGGCATGTCCCAAAGTTAGAAGTCAAAAAGACTAAATTTGGAATTTTCTTTGAGGAAGATTGTCAAAAATGTCAAAAGATCTAAAACACTTAAATAGGATCATCAGTCATTATGAAACAAAGGCAAATACAGAAAGGTTTACAAAGTTATGAAGAAAACTTAGCACTTTTAATATGACAAGACTCACTTTACTTAAGTAATTAAAGACCTAGTGAAGAAAACATCACTTTGGAAGGCCAAGGTGGGAGGATTGATTGAAACCAGGGGTTTAAGACCAGCCTGGGCAACATAGTAAGACCCTGTCTCTATAAAAGAAAACACACACAAAAAACGAAGAAGATGAAAAGAAGAAGAAGAAGAAAAAGAAGAAGAAAAAAATGAAGAAAAATGAAGATGAAGATTAGAAAGAAATTATTATCTGGATAAAACACAAATTTTCATTTCCTAGGCTAATACTTAAAAAGTAAGAAAAGCTTTTCAAGAAATAAACTTTTTTCTTTTAACACAGAAAATAAGCAGCTTCTAGTTTTGTGCCCATGTACTTTTGATATTAAGACTAATTCTTAAAAACCTTCCTAATAAATTCATTTAATTTTAGCCAGCTTGACTGCATATGAAATTCCTCTTTGAAATGTTCTCTCTCACAAACCTTCTATAACTTTCTGGTAACCATTTCATTTGTCCTGTTCTCCTCCTCTTTTTTATTGTGGAATAATTAGCCATTGTACTTCAGGGCAAAAATTATTCTCTTTATCCCTTAACCAAAACACATCCTCATAACTTCCTTTATAAAATCTGCCTTACCTCCCTTGCATACAGAATTGTTTCCCTTAATAGTTGTATAAGTTTTAATATATTAATTAGAATTTTTAACTCTCAGTAACCTTGATTTCTAGTGAAAACTAGTAAACATTGTGAAATGTTTTATATCAGCATTTTGTAAATGAATACCATCTCTTAATATAATACTTCATGTCGTTCACTAACAGGCCCAAATATATTTAGCTTCTCTCTTTTTTTTTTTTGTTTTTTGGTTTTTTTTAGTCCTCAGTTCCACTGTGAGGTTAATATTTAGCTTCTGTATACCATATAAAAACAAAATGCCAAAGTATATACACTTTAATGTTCAACAATTAATGTTTCAATATTTATTTGTTTGTTTTATGATGGGATCTCACTCTGTTTCACTGTAACCTCAAACTCCTGGGCTCAAGCAATCCTTCTGCCTTAGCCTCCGAAGTAGCTGCAACTACAGGCACACACTACCATGTCTGTCTAATTTTTAAATTTTTTATAGAGATGGTATCTCACTATTGCCCAGGCTGGTTTTCAACTCCTGGCCTCAAGTGATCCTCCTGCCTCCACCTCCCAAAGTTCTAGAATTACAGGCATGAGCCACTGCACCCAGCCTGTTTCAGTATTTTAATTTACTTATTAAATGACTCAGACATTAATGAATATCCACTATTTAATTAAATATAACATAACTTTAAGATTTCAAGTTATCTGGTGGCTCACGCCTGTAATCCTAGCACTCGGGGAGGCCGAGGTGGGCCGATCACTCAAGGTCAGGAGTTTGAAACCAGCCTGAGCAAGAGCGAGACCCCCTCTCTACTAAAAATAGAAAGAAATTAATTGGGCAAACTAAAAACATATATATATAAAATAATTAGCTGGGGATGGTGGCGCATGCCTGTAGTCCCAGCTACTCGGGAGGCTGAAGCAGGAGGATCGCTTGAGCCCAGGAGTTTGAGGTTGCTGTGAGCTAGGCTAATGCCACAGCACTCTAGCCCAGGCAACAAAGTGAGACTCTGTCTCAAAAAAAAAAAAAAAAAAAGATTTCAAGTTATCAAAAAAGATTTTTGAAACTGTGTTTAAGTAGACATTTTATAAAATATAATTCTTTTTGAAAGTTTATTTTAATCACTTTTATTCCATTTACGTTTACCTACTTCACCTGTTCTTAATGATTATGCTTGAATTGCTTATGAAAAATTTCATGAGACATTAAACAGAGCTAGCCATTGAAGCAGTTTAGGAAATGCCACTCCAGAGCATGCTGCTTTTTGTATATTGATCACTTCAAGCTAAAGGCATTTGAAAAATAACAAATGCAGTGAGACTCTCTCTGGACTTCCCTTATCTGCCTAAAGACAGATTTTTCAAAGGAATGCAACTATCATCAGTCCCTCCGCCTACACCATCATCTTATGTTATTTATTTTACTTCCATGACTGACATGCATCAAGATCAAGTAATTCACTTTTGCTGCACATTTTGGTTTTAGGTTGGATTTATGGTTTTATGGTCTTTTTTTTTTTTTTGAGACAGAGTCTCACTTTGTTGCCCAGGCTAGAGTGAATACCGTGGCATCAGCCTAGCTCACAGCAACCTCAATCTCCTGGGCTCAAGTGATCCTCCTGCCTCAGCCTCCCGAGTAGCTGGGACTACAGGCGTGCACCACCATGCCCGGCTAATTTTTTGTATATATATTTTTAGTCAATTAATTTCTTTCTATTTTTAGTAGAGATGGGGTCTCGCTCAGGCTGGTTTCGAACTCCTGATCTCGAGCAAGAGCAACTCCCGAACTCCGGACCTTTCGATCCGCCCACCTCTGCCTCCCAGAGTGTTAGGATTACAGACATGAGCCACCACGCCCGGCCAGTTTTATGGTCTTAAACATCTAGCAGAAATAACACAAACCTGTTTAACCAGCAACCCAGGAAAAACTGACAATTCTGAAAACATTCCTATTTTTATTTTACCCCAAATTTTCAAGCTAGCTTTATTTACCAGAGCCCTACCTACGTCATATGAACTTAGGGAGAAAAAAAACCATTTGGGTTATTTTCTATATTTTTGAGAGTTTTGGGAATAATTTACGTAAATGCTCTTTTATCCCCAAGCTAATTTGAATAGATCTCCCTTAAAGGATTTTATAAATTGGTTCAGTAATACCATCTGAAAATATCACATATACATACATATGAAGACAGGCATACAGAAAGAGGCAGATAAACTGCTGATTTAATAGTCACTTAAGTTAGGAGAAGTCCAAAGGTCAGTCTGGGTTGTTGGTTGCCCTGGAGTTGCTGTAATTGCAAGGCCATTAATTCAGAAGGCTTTTATTTCTTATCTTGTTCTGAGGTTCTTAGCTAACTTACCTAAACCTGTAGCTTCCCTATCTTTTTCCTCCTTTCTTTCATTTCCTTGCTAATGTTAGGGGGAAAGTCCATTTACCAAGAGAGCAGTTAGGGCTGGCTGAATTGGTGGAATGCCTGGGATGCCATAAGAAAAACAAATGTCCAAGGGGGCTTTGAAATCATTAACAGATTCATTTTTCTTTTGTCTGCAGGTCTGGTTGATTGACTGGTCAGTGCAGGTGGGAAACACCTTGTAAATGGCTTTCAAAAGGTTATTTATGGAGGTTTTTTTTTTTTTTGCTCTTAATGGTGGTTTATATGTGTACCAAATGGGGGTTCATAGCCAGAGATCTTGCACCCTTGGGGGGCACCATTCTGCCTCTTGCACCCTTTTTTGAGCTGCTGCTTCATGTCTTATCTGTGTGTGTTTAACCTGTGCGTGTCTACCCTGAGTTCAGGGTAGAGCCCATTCATGAATAGGGCAGACAAAGCATTTTCTATGACAGACAGGATACTTTTTATTCCTACTCTGAGATCAAGATTTTGACCAATGTATAGGGTGGTTAAAAAGCAGATCTGATTTATCAGAAGGCCTAACTTTATAAACACTGACCTAGTTCTTTTTCTTCTTTTTTCCTTTGGGGTGTGCATGCAGGTAAGCAAGCAGAAAAGGTCAGTAGATGAGGGTAGGTAGAGGATGATGGAAAGAGAGAGGTTAGAAGCCACACGTGGCAGTCAAAAATACATTCCATTGTTTCTGGGGCATTAGGGATCTGTGTGTGTGTGTGTGTATGTGTGTGTGTGTCTATCTGCACGTGCACACATGTGCTGTAGATGAGCAATTTTGTTTAGGTTAAAACTTCCCCATTGTGGCCACCAAAATTCTAAATTATTTTTGGTAAGATTTACACAGTTCTCTAGAAAAGCACAAGTTCTGAGATGGAGTCACAGAGTCCGTGGATTTAAATAAACACATTATTTTTTTGTCTTCCTGGAACCTTTCCTAATAGATTTTTTTTGTTTGTTTGTTTTTGTTTTTGTAATTGTGGAAATTTTATACATCAGTATAGCAACATCCACAGGCAAAGTCTCTTAACAGAATTATAGCAAACATTTCTATAAGGACCATACATATAATACATTTAAAGTATTAAAGGTTACAGTTAACTCAGTTGCAAAATGTAAAAGCTATATCCTATTAGCACATTTAACCCAAATTAGCTTTTATCTATGATTTACCATTCAGGAAACTAGAACACAATAAATTTCTTGTCAAAAGCTCATTTATAAAACTGTAAATCAATTAAGATCACTACCTGCTGGATCAGATAGCAGAGGCTTCTCTTCTGTATTAATTCTACTATTCCAAATATTAGTATTAATGTTACCTTAAAAAAAACTTATAAGGGCAAAACTGAAAATTACCATTTTCTCTACAAAATAAATATAATCTATAAAGACCTGGAAATAATTCAAAAGTTCAAATTCTTAATGTGAAAGTAAGTAGAAAAAGATTCAAAAGTGGTAAATTTTTTCCACTTTAAGTAAATGATACCTAGGTATGATGAACAGGTAATAATTCAAGTTTATCACTAGTAAGTCACTGAAGAGATAATTACATTCATTCATGTACCATCAAATTAGAGAAGGTCTGAGGACATGCTCAAGTCAGTGAAATGGCCAATGATCAACATTTTACTAGTTTATTTTGTCTCAGACTACTGGCATGTGAGTTTGATATGTTAACAAACAACTTAAATGTCCACATTAGGCTAAACATCAAGCACCTTTTAGCAGGGGAAACCAAAACATTTTAATGCCAAAAATACACAAGATATTTAGATACTATTTCATTGGTTGTCAAAAACAGTGACTATTAATACTATGTAATTTAAAATATTGTTCCAGGTCCTCTCAGAAAAATGTGAAAATAATACCGAGGTTCTCACTGTTATTGTTATTTTATAATTTCGCAGGAATTAAAAGCCAGAAGTTATAAATTTATGATTGCCAATACTATCTTTGGATAGTTACAGTACAGTATATAATTAGGGATGCCTTTGTTTAGAAGACTGGAAAAGTGCTTATGGAATAAACAACACTATAATCTCACTGATATAAATCAACTAAATGCGACTGTGTCTAGCAGACATGGTAGAGACAATGGCAATTTTGAGAAAAGAGTGCTTCTAAAGGCATTTCCTTTGAGGCTCTGAGGTTTTATTCACATTATTGAAAGACCAAGTGATGTGGTATGATTACTTTAATTCCTACAACCAAACTTCTACTTAAGTACTGCTATGTGTTCCCAAACTACTTTTCTTCTGTCCACCAGGCTGGCTTCAATATTCCAGTGGACCATATTCCAGTGGTCTACTGTAATCTTTTGGTCTTCCCTCTTTGTAGTACAGCAACCCTATGTGATACTATCCATTGAGTAGGTAGACCACCAATTCATAGGTGGCCATCATGATGGCTGTGTTTGGAATCTGTCTCACCAGATGAGTTGCTAGACCACGGTAAAGAGATCCATAACCTACTTCTTGAACAACCAAAGACAGTGTCTGAAAGAAAGATCTATATTTTGTTCTCTCTTCACGTAGTCTTGTTCTTATAACTTCATGTGGATATGCTATAGCTGTGGCACAAGTTTTTGATGTGGCAGCTGCTAGCATCATTCCCACAAAATCTGATGCCTCTTTCACAGACTTTTCTTCATTTTCCATTGTAGAAGCAATTTTATATTCCAGTAGTTTTTGCTTTATACTTTAATATATAACAAAATGGATTACAGTCTCTGCTGTGTCAACATATGAAGCAGACATGCCCCTATAAAATCCTCTAAGTCCATCTGTCTGATATGCTTTATGAACACATTCAAAAGCACCCATTCGCTTTTCCCCACGGTTCCTTGCATCAAGCTGTAACTGAGTCTTTATAAGCCAAATGGGGTTGGTTGCCGTGATTGCGGTAAAACGAGGTTTAAGTTAGTCCATATTTCTACAGGAGGAGACCTGCTCATGGGGAGCGTGAGATGACATGATCTCACTCTTTCCTCGGGAGAAATGTACAGTAAATGCCTGCCATTGCAGCTGAAATCATGTGTACCTGGGTAGAATCAGGATCAAATACACCATTCAGCTTTTCCTTGCAGTTTGAGTAAGCAACAAAGTATATTGCTCTTGAAGGGGCCACCCCCACTAAATTGTGGCCCAATCCTCTAAACAAGGAACGAGGGCCTTCTTTTTCCAAGATCACCTTTAGGCAATGGATAGGTCCAGGAGACACTACTCTGTTGACAGTGGCTCCAGCCATTGTGTTCAAATGAACTTCAGAGATACAAAGCGTCACAGAAGGTGACTGCAGTTGTGTTTTTACAACTTCCAGTGGACATGTCAGAATAGCTCCCACTGTGCTACCACATCTCCTGGCAAACAGATGCACCAGCGTGTCTCTCTGGCTCATTCTGTCTCCAGCATGTGCTCTGGGCGCTGAGGCGGGACACTGATCCGGCCGGCCCCTGTGGCCGGTGGCTTGGATCCCGGACTGGAGACGCACAACGCCCCAGGGACGGCGAGGGGAGCAGGTGGACTTGCGGCTGCAGAAAGCAACCGACACAGCCCTCCCCGTGGCTCTCCAGCGATGCAGCCCCTAATAGATGTTTTTTATTAAACTGAATACAGTTTTGGGTTGTGTGACCCAATCAGACCCCTGAATCCTCCCTATGAGACCCAGTCCAGTTTCTGTTAGGACATCTAAATTTAGTCTAGACCAGAAATGTTCACATAAATTCAGAGAACTTGACATAAGTTGTAGAACTCAGATATTGTAGAGGACTTACTAGTGATGACCTCCAAATGTGCAGTGAGAAGCGGGTAGCACAAGGGGTCTAGTGGGGTACTTTGCTCATTCCTCCCAGACATCGTTATCATGTGGTCTCCTTTGGATCCTACTTCTGACACCAGATTTGATAAAAGAAAAACTTTAAGCACATTTAAATTTTAAACAGTTTATTTGAGCATTCAGTGATTCATGAATTGGGATAGCATTAGACTATAAGAGGCTAGTATTCTGCCAGAAGGGCCAAGAGGGAAACCTTTTATAAAGTATTGGCAGAAGCAAGACAAAACGATTTTTTTTTTTTTTTTTTTTGAGACAGAGTCTCACTGTGTTGCCCCGGCTAGAGTGCTGTGACATCAGCCTAGCTCACAGCAACCTCAAACTCCTGGGCTCAAGCGACCCTCCTGCCTCAGCCTCCCAAGTACCTGGGACCACAGGCACACGATACCATGCCTGGCCAATTTTTTCTATATATTTTTAGTTGTCCAGCTAATTTCTTTCTTTCTTTTTCTTTCTTCTTTCTTTCTTTCTTTCTTTCTTGTCTTTCTTCTTCTTCTCTTTCTTTCTCTCTCTCTCTCTCTCTCTCTCTCTCTCTCTCTTCTCTCTCTCTCTCTTCTTTTTCCTTTCTTTTCTTTCTTTCTTTCTTTCTTCTTTCTTTCTTTCTTTCTTTCTTCTTTCTTTCTTTCTTTCTCTTTCTTTTTTCTTCTTTCTTTCTTTCTTTCTTCTTTCTTTCTTTCTTTCTTTCCTTTTCCCTTCCCTTCCCTCTTCCGCTTCCGCTTCCCTGTCCCTTGCCCTGTCCCAGTCCCTGTCCCTTCCCTTCCCTTTCCCTTCCCTTCCCTTGCCCTTTGCCTCCTTCCCTTCCCTTCCCTCCCCTCGCCCCTCCCTTCCCCTCGACCCTCCCCTCGCCCCTGCCCCTCCCCTCCCCTCCCTCCCCTCCCTCCCTCCCTCCCCTCCCCTCCCCTCCCTCCCCTCCCTCCCCTCCCTCCCCTCCCTCCCTTTCCCTCCCTTCCCTATGGGTCTTGCTCTTGCTCAGGCAGGTTTCGAACTCCTGACCTTGAGCGATTCCTCCCACTATGGACTCCCAGAGTGGTAGGATTACAGGCGTGAGCCACCATATCCAGCTGAGAAAACAATTTTGATTAGTCAGAGTAGAAAGTTCCTAGTGAGAGGTTAGTTGGTGGTTTCTGATTGGTACAGTTTCTAGTTTCAGTTTAGTGTTTACATTGGGCTTTGGTTTATTCACTTAGGAATTGAAAGTGACTGAGCTACCCCAGTCTAATAGCCCCCCAGTTAGAATTTATTTTTTAACACTGCCTGTAAATTGAGGTTTCCACGGCTTCCCTCTTGGGGTTTGATCAATTTGCTAGAGTGGTTCATAGAACAGAGGGAAACAGTTCACTTATGTCTATCCATTTATTATACAGGATATGACAAAGGAAAAAGATGCACAGCTAGGTGGAAGAGGAGCACAGGGTGAGGTATGGCAGTAGGAACCTCTCCAGGAACCTCCATGTGCTCAGCTATTTGGAAGCTTGCAAATAGGAAAGCCTTCTAGAATATCATGTTGTGATACTGTGAAATGTATATTTGGTCTTTGTCCCTGTTTCCTGCCATATAGGTCCTAAAATCTTTGGAGTCTCCAGAGTGCTGAGTGTCTTTTGTATGTTAATGAGATGACTGGAAGCTCCCAGAATCATGTTTTTTTTTAATGGAAGCATTATTACCTAGGCATGATTGATTCAATCATTGGCTGTTGATTTACCAACTTAACCTTTAGCCCCTCTCCCCTCCCCACAGGTTGGGGGTGGGACCAAAAGTTCCAGCTCTCTAAGTACATGGCTGGTATACCCTATGTGAGAGCCCACCTCTGGGATGGTTTCTATTGATCTGGGATTCTCACCTGTGTATAATCCCCTTCCGCATGTCATCAGGTTTAATCTGTGTGACCAGTAGAATGTAGCAAAAAGGATGATATGCCAGTTCTGAGATTAGGTTATAAAAGACTGTGGTTTCCATCTTGGGTCTCTTCATCTCTCTTGATCACTTTCTCTGGGGGAAGCTGGCTGCCACGTTGTGAGCAGCTTTATGAGGAAGCCAGTGTAGGGAGGAGAAGAGGCCTCCCGTGATAATTAACGTGAGTGAGCTTGGACGCGGCTTCTCTAGCGCCAGTTAAGCCGTCAGAGATTGCAGCCCTGGCCAGCAGCTTGCCTGCAACCTCATGAGAAACCCCAGTGTAGCTAAGCTGCTCCCTGATGCCTGACCTTCAGAAGCTGCAAGATGATAAATGCTTGATGTTTGCAGCTGCTCAGTTTTGGGGTAATTTGTTAAATAGTCTTAGATAACTAGGACATGCTGCAATTTCTATTGTGAAGTTGAGTATACCTCTTCATTCTCAATATCCTGCAGTCTCTCAGTGCTCGCTTGCACTTAATGTGCACATATTCTCTCTCTCTCTCTTTCTCTCTCCCCCTTCCTCTCTTCCTGCCTCTCCCCATCCCCTTCTCTGTCTCTCTCTCTCAGACCCCCATACACAATTTCATTTGGTTGCCTAATCCTCTGTCATGCTTATTTGTTATCTAGATCATTTCTGTTCCATACCTCTTTCCACTAAATATGTTGTTGACTGGGTCCCTGCTGCTAAAACATTTAATAGTAAATGTGTCACTGTCACAGTCAGTACAGCCACACTCTCTGCTTGACTGGGCCACAGAGTGCTCAGGCATTTGGTCACCTTTTGGTTGTGTCTGTGAGAATGCCTTTGGATGAGATTAACGTTTGAGTTGGTAGACTGATTAGAGTAGATTGCCTTTCTCAATGTAGGCGGGCCTCCTCATCGAATCCATTGAAGGCCTAAATGGAACAAAAAGGCCGGGTACGAGGAAACCCCTCTCTAGCTAGTACCCCAGTCTTTCCTTGCCCTTGGACCCAGACTTGAACTTGAACTAACATCATAGTTTCTCTTGGGTCTCCAGCTGTCCAGCTGCAGATCTTAGGACTTCTCAGTCTCTGTAATTATGATATTTGTGTATATATATATATTTTTTTTATTTTAGCGTATTATGGGGGTACAAGTGTTAAGGTTACTTATATTGCCCATGCCACCCTGATATTCATATATTATATGTCCCTTCTGGAGAACCCTGACTGTTCAAATGACTTAGTAAACATTAGCTGGCTAGGCGGCTTTCTGAAAGAGCTGATTCTTACTAACCTTTGAAATGCCACGTGCCGAACTGTCCTTTACCTAGCAGCCAGAACCAACCTGTTTCAGGTCAAGTTTTTCAGTGTCTTTTCTTTCTCTGCTTGTTCTTAAGCCCCAAAGTAAAATCTGTAGAGAATTCAGTTTAAATGATGTTTCTGTTTTTATTTAAAAGTAAGAAAATATGACAGAGAAGAGTCCTGAGAACTTGGATCAACTTATTTAAAGCAGTAGTCTTCGTATTGAGGTATTGCTGTGGTCTCTGTCTTTCAGAGCTTGTTTTTGGTGTCATTTTGCCTCATTCTACGGTTAGGTTAGTGCCCTTTGATTTTCAGTTCTGAAAATTTGGAGGCCAGATTTCTGCAGAGGATTATTTTTCTAAATCAAATCCTCTTTATGGAGAATCTAAATTTAGAATTGCTCTCTGTTTTGATCAACAAGCAGGTTAAATGTTTAGGACACTACTTAGAGAAGATGTAGGCACCACACCTGCCTTCTCAGGAATCCACGGAAAGGAACTAGGATTGCCGGTTTTATTGTATCATGGGCAGATAGGTTTGTCATCTTGGTAGGCTGCTGCCACCGCAACCTCTAACTCAAGCGATTCTCCCTGCCTCAGCCTCCCAAAGTGCTGGGATAACAGGCATCAGCCGCCAGTCTGACCTTTCAGTGGATTCTGACAAATGCATAAGGACATGTATCCACCATTACAGTATCATGCAGAACAGTTTCACTGCCCCCCAAATCTCCTGGGCTCCACCTATTTAATCCCTCCTTCTTTCTCCTTGAACCCCTGGCAACCACTGATCTTTTTACTGTCTCCATAGTTTTGCCTTTTCCAAAATGTCATATAGTTGGGGTCTTACAGTATGTAACGTTTTAGATTGGCTTCTTTCATTTAGTAATGTGCATTTAAGGTTCTCCTGTGTCTTTTCATGGCTTGATAGCTCATTTCTTCTTAGTGCTAAATAATACTCCATTTTCTTCATGTACCACAATTTATTACGGATTCACCTACAGAAGGACATCTTGGTTGCTTCTACTTTCTGGTGACTATCAATAAAGCTACTGAAAGAAGCCATGTGGAGGTTTTTGTGTGGACCTAAGTTTTCAGCTTGTTTGGGTAAGCACTTGGGAGCCCGATTACAGGATGTGAAGTGGTTTTTAGACCTATTTGTATAGACTCTTGACCCTAGTGTCTCTCCTTTTGCCGAAAACTGCCCTGCTCACTGTGGCAACCTAACCAGGCCTGCGTCTGCCAGGACATTCCTGTTCTTCATAAGGAACATTTGATGAACAAATCTGGACACAAGGGTCTTGATTGTGTCCACAGGAAGGAGTATGTCAAATCTTTTACAAAATGTATTCTTTAATCATGGTTGCTGTTCTCCCATTCTACTCTATTGCTCCATTTTGAATTCCTTATTTTGGTCTGTCTGGTAGTAATTTCCTTTAAAATACAAGTGACTACTTCAACTCTTATATGATTTTTTTTTTTTTTTTTACTGTGGTAGAATACGTATAACACAAAATTTGCAAGTTTCACCATTTTAACTGTACAAGTCAGCGGCATTCATTACATTCACATCATTGTGCAACTAGCTGTCACCACTTTCTGTTTCTAAAACTCTCTCATCTGTAGATATGATCATTTTAAAAGAGGAATTTATTTGGCAAAATATTTCATCAGTCAGCTTTTGTGAAATTTTGCTGTAGTAACACACCCCAAATCTCAGTGGCTGTTGACAACAGTCTTTATATCTCCCTCATGTGTTGTATGTATCATTTAATTTTTGCTAGAACTTAGTCACATGCCACCTCCAACTGCAGGGGAGCCTGGGAAATGTAGTTTAGCTGTATAGGAATAAGAGCAAATGGGTTTGGTGAGTAGTTAAGGTTCTTAGCCATATCAAGTAGGATTATAAAATTGTACACAGAGTTATCTTGATCTTTCAGGGATGACATGACAGTAAGTACATGGTTTTGTAGTTCTGGCTGCTTTTCAGGAAACCATTTTTCCACTCCATGCTCCCTTCCCATCTAAACT